AAATAAATAACAATTTTTTTTTAATAGCTTCTAGAAAGTCGATATTGCCTTTTTTCTAATATATGGACATCGCAACAAATAATATTTTTAATCCGAATATATTTTGGCTTAATTGTACAATATTTTAACGGATCTCTAAAAGATAACAAACACATTGAATTACATTGTAAAACCACTTGTCATCATTCTACTTCGAAGATGTAAATCTTTTTATAGCAAACTGTAGTAGACTTGTAAGTACTAATGATTCACGCTGACAGGTGTCGACTATTCAGAACTCTGCTAATACTTGAGCATTCGTGAACATACTTCATGTTTACGCTCGATTTGAAATTTATCACACCCTGTTTTGTAATAAAATTATTGTAATATTAAGTTTAGTTCAAGCGTTAGTTGATTTTCTTGTGTTGAGTATTATAATCTGTGATCAAGACATAATGAGATCGCATCTTTAATTATATCCTAAAAAATACTTTGGCAGTATCTTAGGTGTTGACACCTAATTGTTCGTCGAACGAGAATAATGAATTTTCATTTACCTCGGTAGTTATAAATTTTTGCGTATATTTTTCAGTTTCATAGTTATGAAAATTTGTTGCTCATTTCTTACTTCATAATACTTCAATAGGATTTTGTTTACATTTTCTAGAAAAATATATTTTGTTCTAAACAAACCATTTCTAGAATTGTGATTATTTTTGGCATGTACAGACAAAACAAACTGTGTTCACATTATGGAATGTTTATGGCCAGTATTTTTTTTACGCTTTCGACTTTCTCATGTTGTAACATACTTTTGGTAAATAAATTGTACAATATTTCGTTTATCGAATGTACAACTTAAGTCTTGTTCTTTAGATACAAGTAACTTTCCCACCACAGATGTTGGAAATCAATGGTTCCCACGAAAACCGACCGATCGCCCTAACTGGACCGCAACATGTAATTTTTGTATTAGCATATACACTATGTGCTATATTTCACAACGTGTAGGTTCGCTAGGTATGCGTTCGTTCTGTAACTGTTGACTGATCTTTAATAAGTAGTGATTTATTTTGTTTTTATTACGCTTTTATTAGCTTCAGACGTATGTACGTTTGTAACGTAATATTTGAACCTGATTTTGACCACCTTCAAAACGTCGTATTAACTCGAAATACTCGATTTGGTATACTTATTAAGGACTGATGACAATTCAATTAGTTAGTTAGTTTTTTTAAACTATTATTTTTTGGATACTAGCGCAGTATTTCCCTTTTTAAATGTTTTATCATTAGTTTCCAAGGCATAAGAATGTTGTTTGGAATAATGAAATAGACTAAAATATTACAATCATTTTTTCCTACGTAATCTCTAGCCTAAGGTGCTATTCTAGCTACGTTCGGACGGGCCATTTATTTGTTTTATAAACAACAACAAAAGAAGCCGTTGTGTTGTAAATTCTTTATATATATATATCGTAATAATGCGTAATGCGTAACAAAAGTACCCTCATCTAAAATGTTGATGAAATTCATACTTATTCAGTTTCAATTGAACATAATATGGTAGCGGTAATTTATTTGTTACATTGCAATTCAAGGCGGTCCGACGGATAACTGTAGCTTGCCGGAGATGCGTTCATTACATGTTCATATTTATTTATGACTTACTGTTACCGTATACCAGCGCTTGTATCGCTGGGTCAGTAAATAAGCCCAAGTTAATGCGGCAAGATGTAACTTCATTGAAATCAGACAGAATAAATGATTTTATAAAAACACGAACAGATATGGTTCTGAGGAAACTAGTTTTATTTTAAGTTAGCCGATAATATTTATGAAAATGAAGGTGTGTTATTCTGAAAAAGTAAATCCCGCCCTCGACTTCATATGCATCTAAGAGATTATTTTGATAAGATAATAACGGTTTTTTGTAATTTTTTTCAATATTATTGATATATCAAAATACTGTTCAATTTTTTGTATCGAAAACAAAAACACGGTAAAAACAGTTTTTAAAGTAAAATATTTTGCTTTGCCTTTTCGCTCACCCGTGGTTTTTCATGAGACCAATATAAAGATATTTTTTTTAATAAGAAGTTCAGTAAGTCTTTTATCACTTTTAACTGTTAAACTTTGTACATATTTGTTCGAGGGAGAAGATATAACATGCAAATAAAGCCTGTCTAAAGAGGAACCCGTTATTCACACCGATATTGAGTTTTATTAATCGTGGAAAATATCTGATTGATTTTTTATTTCGTTTTAGCCCGATATCGGAACCTGTAGACAGTAATATTATTCTTTATTACTACAAATTGTCACTCGTATTCACGGATGATCTGGCGCTAAGTGATTCTGGGAGCTCACAGATAACAAACCGTCGATCTTCTCTTGAGTCTCAAGATAAAAGTCAAGATAAACGTCAAGATAAAAGTAAAATTGGTATACAATCCTACAAACCGCAACGCATTATTACTTCGCATCAGAAAAGGCCGGATTTTGGTCCCCATACTAACGGGCTCACAATGTGCCAACCCTTGCCTACTGAGTTTCTTCGCCAGATCTTCTCAGTGGGTCGCGATTCCGATCCGGTGGTAGTTTCTGCGAAACACTGCTCTTGCAAGTGTTAGTGAATTCTCTCAGGTTGAGCCCGTGAACTCAACTACCAGTCCGGGCGTAGCTCGAATTACCTCTTCTTTGGCTATTAGCGAATAGGTAGGAATAAAAAGAAAGTACACACCCGTTTGTATGTATACTGTACTGTATGTTTGTATAGTGAGTGCTTGAAACCCTCCTCCTCGCGTCTTTTCCTCACTGCTGAGGGTCGTGACCAACCCATTGATATCATAATACTGTTTTTATTTATTTATAACGGGCATGTTGACCGAGTAAGCTAACCGAGCTTAATACCAGATTTGGTTAAGTCGATTTTATCCACATTGATAAGTAGCAGTTGTTCGCATGACTCATTTTATCAACACGGACAGCTGTGAAACTACACCGTGTGTTTGTGAATGCGGGTCATATGCAGGGCTTCGTATTCGTGATTTTATTTGTTGAATAAGACTGTTTATTGTGTTATTAAAACCCGCATCGTAGTATCAAAAGCACTTGTAAACTAAAGGTCAATTTATTCATAATAATCGTTTTTATGGATAATACTCTTTTTTGGAATTAACACTAAAGCATTTGTCGTCGGACGCATCGTGAGTCTTATCGTGATGGCTGGCCATTGTCTTTACATCAGGAAGAAGCAATGTTATACCTCTAAATTGGTAGATTTACCCGCGTTTCATTACGGTTACCGGAATTTACACTCGGCTTCCGCGAACCTTGGTAGCGGCGAAGCAGTTGTTGCTTTTGTCGTGCAGGTGCAGTCGGTCTCATATAGTAAGTAATAGTACCGCCTAATACGTACATATGTACGTACGTGTATATTTTTTCAATGTAATTGTGACGTCCGGTTTTCTCCGTTGTATTTATTGCTAAGCCAGTTGTTTCAGCAGTTCATGAGCCAATAATAAAGATATTTTATTAATAGTATGAGCTTTACAACAGTAAGATAAAGAAGCCTTTATTAATAATCTTAATTCATATTTAGGTATACTAGTGGTCCCGCAGTAGTCGAAATTCGACTATAATTCTTCGACTATATTTCTTTATTATAATTTAATCTATTCTTGATTTGACCGCAGACGTCAAGAACAAAAGTTTGACAATAAATAAATAGTATGCATGCGTGTGTGCGTCAAATACATGGTAGTGTGTGTAATGTTTTCTTTATTGATTTAATGTATTTTTTAGGCATAATTTTAAAAAAAATATTAACATTCTGCATCCCTTCTCTATATTCTCTTTAAGTGTGGGAAATTTCATACTCCTCCGTCCGCACAATTTTCGTAAAAAGGGGTATAAAGTTTTTCCGTCACGTATTAATATATAGATACTATTCATTTAGATTGTTTTGCTTTCGCATAGGCCTCCCCCAAATCCTGCCATAAGTCCTGGTCGTGGCATTTCCTCTTCCACGTAGAGCTTGCAACGGTCTTTATGTCCTCTACCCACCTTTGAAACGGTCGTCCTTTTAATCTTTTCCCCTCTCGTAATAAGTAACATAAGGATAAATGGAAACGGCTCCCGAAATTGCATTTTTTTGTCAAGTAAAAGTTTATTTTGGTCGGAGTCCGAAAATATGGAGTGATCAAGTGTCCGAGTACATGGACACGAGACGCACTTCACTTTGCCACTGACCGACGTACGTGGGTACAAGATCACAAGTAAATGTCTTAGTAGGACGCATCATGGTGCTGCGCAATGAGCTAACGATTAGAAGACTACACGATTCTAAAAAAAAAAGTTCGTTCTATTCTAACGTTTATACTAGGTTTTTCCGGTTAAATGATTCACAAAAACGAAAATAAAATACATTTTTTTGATATAAAGTTTGCTTTTGTGATAGTTATAATAGTATATATAGTAGTAGTAGTAGTAATAGTAATAATACTCATTTTTAAATTTTTTTATACATTTTTAAAATATATTTTAATACTTTCAAAAAAACCGGGCTATGAGAGTGGAGTGTTTACATTTACACAGTGCCACTAGATGGCACTCGAGTGATAAACAACGATCAGGTGTTTTGTACAAGCCCAGAAAAACTTAAAATGTTACGAAAGTGTAAATTAAATACGATGCTGATGCATTTTGTTTCATATGTTATGTTTTAGCGGTAGGCAGCGGCTTGGCTCTGCCCCTGGCATTGCTGAAGTCCATGGGCGACGGTAACCACTCACCATCAGGTGGGCCGTATGCTCGTCTGCCTACAAGGGCAATAAAAAAAAAAAAAAAAAAAAAAATATGTGGTCAATTTACTAAAGTTCAAAAAAAGCAAACGGTTTCATGCCATGTATTTTTTTTTCGTCTGATTACGATCTAAAATATCGAAATTTTATGCTTCGCAATCAAAGTCACATTTGGTGTTGACCCGTGTTATTTTACGTAAATGTTCGTTTGCAGATCAACAATAACAACGGGGAATACAATTCGAGGAGCCTTCCTCGAGTGCGGGTTGACACCGGAGGGCAGGTGCCGAGTGCGGGCGTGAGACTACGCTGCTGGGCCGCTCCGCCTTCCATTACCGAAGAGGATGTGGAAGACGAAGTTGAAGACGACTCGGTCTCCTTACGGGCTGCCCCCGCACAAGGTAAGCCCATTTCTTATGTGTTCTCTATGATGCTTAAGATTCTTTCTTTTTTTTTCTACCTAAGCTGATAGCCTTGAGAGGCTATATCAGCGTAACCTTAACTAGTAGGTGAGCTCGCGGGGCTCAAACCTGACGACGTTGCTAACACGAACCCTAGCAAGAGCCGTGCTTCGCAGAATCTACCACCGGATCGGAAAGGCGACTCAGTGAGAAGATCCGGCGAGAAACTCAGTGGGCTGTGTCTGAGGGTTAAGATTCACATGATGATAGCTGTGAAGAGCTCGGAAGTAGTTTAGAGAATATAGTTAATAATTAATAATTTATTTATAAGTTCGTAAATAATTTTTAGTACTTTAAAAGAATTAGTTTGGGATATGCTGCGCCGACCACACAAAACTTGAGATAAGGACAAGGAGCAGAAGAAGCTGTCAATAGTTTAGTAGTATAGGTACTATTTAAGTTTTAGTATTACGTTACACAACATTTTTTATAGTTCATATCTATGGGACTTGGACAGTAGAACGCAGAGATAATTTCAGTGAATATAAACAAAAAATATCAATCTGTTGAAAGTTATCAAGGTGTGGTTTTGTGAAAAAGATTTTTTTTGTCCAAGCCCAACATAATCTCGTACAAAAATGCTAAAAAGCTATCTTAAAATAGTAAGAAATATGTCGATTAAGTCTTCACATAAATAAACACATTTGATACTTTTGGTTATTAAGCAGTTAAGCCCTTTCTTTTTGTATTAGCGGTTAAAATGTTGATAGTACTAGTATTGGGATGTATCTTTCCTAACCTTGCTGCAAAGAACCATGGATTCCAGTTGTATAGGAGAGCCGTCATGATAAATAAATCGAGACTAGACTTATGTCTTAAGGTGAGTTGCGAGATTCGTTGCAATCTATGCACGGCATCTGTGTAATTCTACAACTTCTTTTAAACTCGTCCGTTCGATGTATCATTTAGTATTTAAAGAATCGAGAGTAATAAATATATATTTTTTAGAAAATATAAAAATATACTGACATCTAGCGTCAAATAGGGATACTCGTAAAATAGCGCCATCTATCATCAAATAGTAACAGAATAGCACTAGCCGCGATGCATAGTTAGCGACATCTGTTCTATGGCCTTTGTAATATTTCTGGTCTATATAAAAAGACACTAGATGGCGTGTTCAATGTGTCTTCAACCGTATAGGTAATTAAAAATGCGCAAAATGTATGTATTTATATATATATTTTTTGCTTTCCTCGTTTATGATAGGTTTTGGCAAGGAATCGTTTCGTTCATATAAGTTTTTCATAAAAATAACTATACTATTTGTATTGTACTATTTTGGGACACAATAAGTACTAAAAATGAACTAATTGTTAAAAACATCAAACGTCATGATTCGATTCAGCTGGATTCAGCCCATAACAAAACAAATTCCCGGAAAAGATCTTAATTAAGAACAATACTGATTCAAAACGAAACTCGTTTGATGACACGTTTTATTTTTAGACAATGCACATCCTGTATGAGCTGCTCGTACGATATTACTCGTTCACAGAAATAATGTTTCAAATCGTTTTAATATGGCCATCGCTTCTAATTAGTCAACCGTTGTAGCATAAGCCTGTGCTCGTCGTGCGACTGATGTGTCATTAGTTGCACCAGCCACCGATCAGTGGCGGAGAGGGAGCGTTGTCAAGGAGGGAACGGACAGACGGTAGAGGGCGTGACGGTCGTGCACCCATGCGGCACAAATCGATTACGTCTGTACTTTCATGGCCCTGCATACTTGAACTTTTTACTGCCTAATGGTGTTTTAAACAAAACAGGCAGCGTAAAAACTTTTTATTGAGGCGAACACTTTTCATCTTACGGCTGGCTTACTCGCTGGCTTACGGGATCAGATCTACAAAAAACCATGATTACGATTAAATATGATTCGATCCTTTTTAGAGGTCTATAAACGTTATAAGAGCATTGCGGTATAAAACTACGTGCAATGCGTACTTATTTACAAAAGAGTTTTCGTTTTTTTTTTATTTGTTTGATAAACTATAACTCACAACTTGTTTTGCAACGAGCCAGTGTTGCCGGTCGTCGGACGCAATTGAGCTAAAATGGTCACAATTAGGGCTCGACAGTTTTAATTGACATCGGTCCCTTGACTCGTGCCCGTCGCGACATTCACGTAATCGATTCAAATTTTCACTGCGCAAAGACTACGCACATCATAATTGGAATTTCACGGGAAAAATATATTTATTCTTAAAGTCATTGGAAAGTTGTGTTGTAATTTTGATGAAAAGTATACGAACTAGTGTTGTCATGATAATATTATAGTGTTAGTTTAATAATAAACGCGACATTAAAGAGTAAAATAAGTTATATTCATGTATACGACTTTTCACGAGTCACCTTAAAATGAAATTGTTAAGTCTGGTTTGGAGGTCATTTCTACACGTGCGATACTGTTTTTTTTACATTAAAAAAAACAAAATAAAACTGCATTATGCTGGGCATCAAGTCACGTAAACACGCTAATGTAACAGTGCACCTCAACTTGCGCTGCACGCGGCGTTATTCCAAAATCCATAAATAAACGGGGAATATTTGAAACTGAGCGGCAGCAAACCGTGAAAATGCCATGCTATTTATGTACCATTATTTTTAGTGGGTGGAAAGAGTTTAAAAATGTCGTTTAGTTAACCTGTCTTTCGGTAACACAAATCCTCTCGGAAGAAAACATTAAGGTTGACTTCACAAAAATAAGTGTGATAGTGGAGATGGAGACACCATGCTGCGACAAAAATGGATTTTAGTATTTTTTTTTTTAACTTTTTGTGAAATAGATCGGCACTTTGGTGTTTAGAAGTTTTAGTATATACTCGTTCAATAGTTGATATTGTTGAAACTGGATATTCAAATTTGCTTTGCGTCAAATATAAGTTCACGTAAGCTTTGGAATTCCTTTGAATTGGATTTGCACTTACTTGTATTTATAATGTTAAAGGCCATGATAATAGGAGTTCAAAGAAAGCTTGAATATTTCTGATCGACATAAAAGGCACAGTAGATTTACCGTCTGCGACACTGCCGGAATAGTGATTCATTCACGAATGACACCTACGGAACCTTACACATCGAATATTCCTGCGAATGTTGACGTCCAACCTGAATTTTAATTACATTCGTATTCAGTAACCATTGTTTGTTTTAATAAGGGGTATGCCTAATACGTATTTCTTTGAAATAAATTAATTTACCGCAAAGTGTACGGTTGAAGGCTATCTGCTCAGAAATGTTAATGTACTCAAAGAAAATTGTGGTTATTACTCACTAATTGTAAATGTAACATTTCCAATTTAGAAGAGTTCTAGACTTTCTCGCTTCTTTCTTTTAACCAATATAAAATGATGGGAATATTTTTACATAGTAATTATTTTTTTCTTTCTTATTTTTTGGAAATTATGTTAAAAACTTTAGTACGGAAATAACAACTCCTCATCATATCTGATAGTATGTTTTTTTTTATTGCCCTTGTTGGCAGATGAGCATACGGCCCACCTGATGATGAGTGGTTACCGTCGCCCGTGGACTTCAGCAATGCCAGGGGCAGAGTCAAACCGCTGCCTACAAACATATTACTCTATACACACAAGAACATTGTTCTTCTCATAGATTCGGTTGCAAATATAGCAGATTATATTTTAAATTACTTTTACGGTATAATTCACGTAATTCGTAATTATTTTCAATTAAGCTTAAGCTTGAGATGAAACCGTAAAATTAGTTTTAATTATTTCCACGAAACGCGAAATCTGAAAAAGATAATTATTTAATAAAGTAATGAATTATATTACCATAGAAAATAAAGGTAATTAATGGTAAATTAAGTAAAAACTTTCATGGGCAAAAAAAAAAACGTTATTGCTTTGTGACAAACTGGGATTTACGGTTATCACACACAAATTCAAGGAAGCGAATATGTATTTATATAATAATTATTATTGTAACTACGAGGAGTCTTCTGTTAACGAGACGCAGGAAAATGGTTCAAGTAACGTTGTTGAATAACATTGTTGTTTGTAATTATTTTGTTCCATCTTTTGACTTCAACTCAGAAGACGTCCATTATGTGAGCAATATGTCGGCTCGTCCAAGTCGCTGCAGTGGTACATGCTATGTTATTCTGAAGAGATCGGCGGGATAAAACGGCTTCATCGAGATAATACTAGATACTATGTTCTTTATTACCCATTATTTGTTGGTACAACTTTTTTTTTTATTGCTTAATTGCGTGGACGAGCTCACAGCCCACCTGGTGTTAAGTGGTTACTGGAGCCCATAGACATCTACAACGAAAATGCGTCACCCACCTTGAGATATAAGTTCTAAGGTCTCAGTATAGTTACAACTCCGTAATTACGCAATGGCGGGCTGTCATCTCGTCTATCTCTTTTGTTAATAATAAATAATAAAACTGGACCTATAGACTCTGTTACCACAATTTGAAATTTAAAAGACAACCATTCACGATCGGGTCTTAATGAATTTGATTTTGAAATTGAAAATGCATTAATTTTTTTTCGTCACACCTTAAGATCAACAGAAAAGATGCTAACCCAAATTCAAATAGTTATTTAAAGCTTCACGAAGGCGCAATGTAAGTCATACAACTATAGATTAACAATCCACTGAATCTTTATCGTGCTAAGAATAACTTCTGCCAGAGTTGTCTTTCACGAACGGTTCCCGCAATCTCTGGAATCAAGATACTAAGTAAAAAAAACTCGCTTTCAATTAAGTACCATTTAAGGGAAGGCGTCTTACTATTGACTCCAGACTAACGTGCTCAATAAAATATGCTATTGAACTTTATGAGGTGTATACCTACTTAGTAGTTATTGAGCACGGCCGTGTAGTGACTCAGATAATCTAGAGAGGAGTCACTCATTGGAGTGCTATTGTTTGTTTTAATCGCACGTATTCGAGCGCATACG